CTGCACAAAAAATGAGGTGTATCAAGATATTGTTAGATGAATTTTGGGTTAGCTATATCTGCACAAAAATTGAATCAAAAAGAGAATAATTATATTGCAAGGGTGCATGAGGTGAGTGAAATTGTTCAATAATTCTTATCTAAATATATATACAAATGAGACTTAACACTCCTATGAAGCTCAACTTCACCTGCCTATATTTATGTGTGCATCAATTGTTTGTGGGCACTCTTTTTTCTAATTCAACATATAATATCAGAGATCTGCAATCACTTTGAAAAGGCTCCTACAAAGCTCAACTTCACCTACCTATATTTATGTGTGCATCAATTGTTTGTGGACACCTTTTTTTTTATGAATCAGCATATAATACCATATATTTGCAATCACTTTGTAAAAGCTCTTACAAACTCAACTCCTATAAGAGTTGAGTCTACATAATGTAGATATTATTCTTATTGATGAAGTAGCAAAGTATCCTAACGAAACTAGTTCTAGTCAATTACTATTTTTTTTTCTTTTATTATTATGAACGAAAAGAATATAGCAAATGGAGTATGCCTCCTTGAATAGCAAATTTCACATTTTTCTTTCTCCCACATTCCGTAATTTTGCTTTTACAAAAGCAGGACCTAACTCCATTGCATGTCCTAAATCAACTTAAGCCCTATTTCTGAAAGGTACACCGAAGCATGAAACTATATAACAAATTAAATAGTATGAAATATCTTTTAGGATCTAACATTACAACAAAACTTATTATTACCAATAATTATTTAACGATAATAAATTAATTGTCTCTATTTTATTATTATCTAATGAAAATATTAATGACTAATATATAATGATCACTAAAAATGTATTTATAACACATTAAAATTTATTATTAATGACAATTATTTATTAAGAAAAACTTAAGTTTCATATCGACTAGATATAAAATAATTAAAAAGTATATAAGTAAATGATAACTCTCACCTTACAAGTTTGTTTTGTAAGGTTGAGTTAGACCTATAACTTACTATATATTATAAGTTGATATCAGATTACTCACCATTACCAAACTTAATAGTGTTAAACTTGATGGGATGTATTGGGAAAAATCAAATCTCACATCGATTATAGATAAAATAATTAATTAAGAGATAAGATAATTAAAAAAATAAGGAAATTAAAGAATATATAAGTAACTCTCATCTTACAAGTTTCACATCGACCAGAGATAATGTAATTAAATGGTATTTGTACTCATCTTATAAGTCTCACATTGACTAAAAATAAGTTAATTAGAAAGTATTATGAATCATTTTTTAACTTTTAGTGAGAATAACAAAAAATATTAAATATCAGTAAAACATGTTACAAAAACTTATACACTTTTCTCGACCATTATAAGAGTCTTTACCGGTATATAAAATAATTGACGATAAATATTTTAGAAACACCATATATAATAACTAATGTAAAAATTCTGATAAAAAATTTTACTATAATTTTTATAATTTTTATTATCATTAAAAGTCGTATTAAATGTTAATAAATATGTGATGCCAGACATGTTTGCAAAAGGAAAACGAGATCAATATGCAATTGCATGTGCATTTGCTAGTATTATTTATTTTCCTAACTAGCTGATTTGATGTATTGAACCAAACCGTGGAGACTGGAGTACGAGGAACCACCTGGGCTGACACTCTTGTGAGCCAACACAGCCATTGCTTGAGCTGATCTGAGAAACTCCTCCTTCCTATGATCCATAAGATCATTAACCATGTTCTGTCTATCACACACATCTTTCATATCTAACCCAAGTTTCCAAACCTCACTCACAAACCTGCTGTTAACCTGCTGATCCGCAAAGTATGGCCAGCAAATCATGGGCACACCAGCCACCAAACTTTCCAAGGTTGAGTTCCACCCACTGTGAGTCAAAAACCCACCAATGGCCTTATGAGCCAGCACCTCCTCTTGTGGGGCCCACTCCACAATGAAGCCCCTCTCCTTAGTCCCTTCCTCCACCTCAGCCGGTATCCGGTCATCATTGCCTTTTCCTGCCACCAAGTCATGCCGCATCACCCACAAGAACCGCTTCTTGCTGCTCACCAAACCGTGCCAAAACTCCATTAACTCCTCCCTTTTCACAATTGTGGAACTGCCGAAGCTGACATATATGACCGACCCCTGAGGCTGAGCGTCGAGCCATGCCATGCAGCTCCTATCCACTTGGAAAAAACTGTTCTTAAACTTAGGAACATCGTTTGCTATGCCTGTTGCTTTTGTCACGTTCAAATGGTGGTGGAGAGGACCGATGGTGTAGAGTTTGGGGAAGTGAAGACGTATCTGGGAGAGGATAGGGCCATCTAGCTCCTCAAATGTGTTGAGTATGAGTGCGTCAGCTTCGAGTGATTGCTTGGTCTGCATCGCAACCCAATCCATAGACATGTTCCCCTGTGAGCTTGGTCTGCAGAAACTTGGGAGATCTCTACACCGAAGCAAGTTTTCCATGCCTGGCATATTTCTTATGATGCGGTCCATGTCCTCATCTCCTTCAACCAGATATATTCACATTATTCTTATCAGCAACAGAAGTTGATATATGTTAACTAAATTGAATGCACGCATTTAAAGATATATAGAAATGAAAGAATGTGATGTGAGTCTATTATACCTATAATGGGAAGTTCTTTGCACTCAAAGAGCTTTGGGATCCAGAAATAAGGCCAGAAGCAACACGCACTGCTGGTTCGAAAATGAATGATTGGTATCCGTATCCCTAACTCAGAAGCCAAATCAATGGCAAGGCTTCCGAAGATTCTATCCTGTATAATGCAACTTACTTTAGGTGTTCCAGGATTCTCGGACACCAGCAGAATCTGTCTCAAGAGTGGCTTAGCGTGAAGAGTCGTGGAAAGCATGATGTCCCCCATACTATTGTCTCCGGATCCAGGGTGCTCGCCCTCCTTATAACAATCAGAAATGGTCTTGAAGTGGAGTGTAGGGTAGCATTCTGAGAGAGCTTCAATGTCACCGAAGCGAGTGAGACGGTTGTGGATGCACTCGGTGTTGAGGAAGGTGACGTACGTGGAGATGGTGAAGGGCAAGAAGCTCAGCGAGCTTCAGCATGGACCCTACATGGCCCTGCAGTGGACAAGGGAAGACCAGAACATGTGCTACTATGGCTTCTTCCATGGATCTTTTCATTCTCAACAATGTCATTGTGTAGTACCTCTTATTAATATTGCCTTTGATGAGATACATGACACCGAATGCCAGACAAAAATACACAGTACACAGGATGACTCATGCCAGCCACATGATTCAAATTTTAATAAACAACACCAGATTATCAAGCCATCTTTTTTTAAATGAAAAAGATTTGCTAATCTGTAAAAAAAAAATAAACAAATTAAAAGTCAGAAGTGATAAATATATAAGAATATAACGCCATAATTTTTTTTTTTATTCAAGTGCTTTAATATTTAATTTTTTAATTAAATATTAGAGATTTAATTATTGTCTTAATCATGACTTCACAGCTGAAAGTATTACTTTATAAAAGAAAAATTAGATGAGAAAAAAAATTAGGTGATAAGAAACGTGTATCGAATAGAATATACGATCTACCAAATTATATATATTTTTAATAAATTTTGACTAATAACCACAAACATGTTAAAAGAGCGTCTCTCAGTATATATATATATATATATTTACATTTCTGAAGTACGTAAATATTAGTAGGCTTTTTAAATAAAGTTGGGAACTTGGGTTTCCCTAATTCCTGGGACGTGTCTCTATTTTCATCCTGCAGTTCCATTGACGTTCTCGTGCACTAGCGTGTTGTATCGTGTAACTCACGGATTAGGGTGAAATAAGTTTGACTGAAATTAAGTTTTCAACACCTTGGTACCCTTATATGTTTAAAAACAAAAGTGAGACTTAAAAAAGAAGAAAAATGAGTATAAGATATTTTTCTTAAGTTACTTAGTCTAATGCGGTGTAGGTTAATGGTTGTGTTCTCTCGATAATCGACCAGATTTTTCTATCCATATTTATAGCACAGCAATATATGGTACTGTAAAAAGTAAGTTGTAAAAGAATAAGATTAAATATATTTTTAATCTTTTAAATTTATAAAAATTTATTTTTATTTTTTAAATTTAATTTTTTCTTTTTTAATATACGTAGGTTTTAGAAATTGTTTTAATGTTTAAGTCATTAATAATATATTTAAAAATGAAAAATTAAGATAGTTATGTAATATAACTAGATTTAATATGATTTTTTTTTATTTAAAACACTAATAAATAATTTTTATATAATAATATTTAATAAATTTCTTAATTTAATTTGAATATAAAAATTAAAATAAATTTATCTTAAATTTAAGGTACTAAAAATATATATTTAAGTTAAAAAAAATAATAAAATTAAAATTAAATTTTTAGCAATATATAACTATATATAGAACAATAAAAGAAAGGGGAATTGCATAGGTTTAACTTGAAATTGTTTTCGAAATAACACTTGCACCTTTTTAAAAAAAAAAATTTCATTCCCTTTAAAATATCATCAAAGATTAACCCTTTAAAATTTCTTTGCATCTATATGAGTCAAAGGGTAATTATAGAGACTAACCACGTCAACAATTAATTAATAGTTTGACAATATGTTTAAAATTTTGGAAGTTCAATGATATATAATTTTAAAAATTGACAGCAAAATTCACAAAAATATGAAGGATATATAACAAAAAATGTAATTAAGTTTTTTTTTTAGTCAAACATTCTCATTTATACCTCAATAAATTTTACCATTACCTTTAATAGAATATAAAGTGGCTAACAGTACAAACAAAAATATTTATATGCATTAATAATTAAATAATGTCAGAAAGTAAAAAATGACCCCTGAATCATCAGGGATACCTTACTAGTTTTATGATATCAAACCAATGTCACCATATCGCAATCATGAATGATGCGTCAATTGAGCTTGAGTGTAGAAAGCTAATGTGATTCATAAAATAGGAAGAAATGATGGCACATGAAATATTAAATTGGACATTACCACAAATAAAATGATTGTTCATGAAAAGTGGACGAGACCTTCCAAACGCTAGCAGCTTAAGCATGCAAAAACTTGTTTTATGTTTGTATGGCATGTACTTGAGCCCAATTTCTGCTAAGGTAGACCGAAGCATCACAAAGTATAACAAATTAATTACACAGTATATATAGAAATATCATTTAGGATTCTAAATTGGGTGTGAGCCATGGTTGGAATAAGAATACTAGATGAAGTCTACGAGTGTTAATTGTTTTCCTGGCTAGCAGTAGAAGATTTGATGTATTGTATCAACTCGTCTAGGCTGTTATAAGAGGAACCACCTGGACTGACACTCTTGTTGGCCAACATAGCCATTTCTTGAGCTGACCTCAGAAACTCATCCTTCCTACGAACCATAAGATCATTAACCATGTTCTCCACAATTTGTCTATCACACACATCTTTCATGTCCAACCCAAGTTTCCAAACTTCACCCACAAACCTGCTGTTGATCTGTTGATCCGCAAAGTAAGGCCAGCAAATCATGGGAACCCCAGCCACCACACTGTCCAGGGTCGAGTTCCAGCCACTGTGGGTCATGAACCCACCAACAGCCTTATGGGCAAGCACTTCCTCTTGCGGGGCCCAACCTACAATGAAGCCCCTCTCTTTAGTCCCCTCCTCCACCTCAGCCGGTATCCGGTCACCGTTGGGTTTTCCAGGCACAATGTCAGGCCTCATGACCCACAGGAACTGCTTCTTGCTATTCACCAAACCATGCCAAATCTCCATTAACTCCTCCCTTTTCACAATGGTGGAACTTCCGAAGCTAACATATATCACCGATCTCTCAGGTTGAGCGTCGAGCCACGCCATGCAGCTCTCATCCACTTGGAACAAACTGTTTCTAAACTTGGGATTGGGAATATTGGCTTCTGCTTTTCTAACATTCAAGTGGTGATGGAGAGGACCAACGGTGTAGTATTTGGGAAAGTGAAGACGTATCTGAGAGAGGACAGGGCCTTCTAGATCCTCCAATGTGTTGAGAAACTTGGTAGATCCCTACACCGAAGCAAGTTTTCCATGCCTGGCATATCTTTTATGATGCGGTCCATATCTTCATCTCCTACAACGTAACAGTTATATTTAATATAGATGTACGAGGGAGATGAATTTGAGAGTCTATGACACTATTTGGACACAAAAACGTTTTCTCTGCTAAAGATAAAGAATATTTTTTGTCTGATATACCTCTGATGGGAAGTTGTTTGGTGTGGAGGAGGTTTGGAACACAGAAATAAGCCCAGAAGCAGCAAGCACTGATGGTTCGAAAATGAATGAGTGGTATGCGTAACTGAGCAGCAAATTCAGTGGCGAGGCTTCCGAATATGCCATCCTGTATGATGCAAGTGACTTTGGGTATTCCATGACTTTGGGACACGAGAATATCTCTCAAGAAGGGCTTAGCGTGGTGAGCTATGGAAGCAATGACGTCCCCTACACGGTCTCCGGAACCAGGGTGGTCTCCGACGTCGTAACAGTCGGAAATGGTGTGGAAATGGAGGGTAGGGTAGCATGCTGAGAGAGCTTGAACGTCGCCGAAACGAAGGAGGCGGTCGTGGATGTAGTCTGTGGTGAGGAAGGTGACGTGGAGATGGTGAAGGGCAAGAAGCTCCGCGAGCTTCAGCATGGACCCCACATGCCCCGGCAATGGACAAGGGAAGATAAGGACATGAGGTGCTTCTGCCGATGCCATTCATCTTCTTGTCAACAGTGTCCCTCCTGTGCCTCTTATCAACATTGTTGATGCATGTTGCCGAATGCCGACAAAAAAAAAAGAAGAAAAAGAAGAGACGTCTCATTATTCTCCTCTTATGTTCAACACCACTTGCTCTTGTTTCGCTGCTTTGGCAGTGGGACACTTTTGCGTTTCATCATTCAACCGCTATAAATTGCCCTCTTTATAAATAAAACTTCTTTTTTTTTTAAAAAAAAAATTAATGAAACTTCTTATCTCTTTTTGTAATAAAAAATAAAGAAATATAATATGAAACTGTCAAAAGTAAGTATATTAGTAACATTAATTTTTAATATAAGCAATGGTCTTGAATTATTACCAAGACATTTTTGTGATATTTGTCATTCTATAATTAGAAAAATAGGATGAAATAATTTAATGTTCTATTATCAATTTATTTTATATTTCAAATAATTTATGAATCAAATTTTACTCAAAGACATTTATAAAAATGTAATTTACTAAAAATTAATCTACAATAAATAAATAATTCAGATTAAATTATACTTTTATCTTTTATCATATTTTTAAGATTTATTTTGATTTTTTATTTTTTAAAATATTCATTTTGATCTGTATTTATTAATTTGGGTCAATTTGTTCTTTTCAAAATAATAATTTTTTTCAATTTTGATATATAATTTTCAATTCTTTTTAAATTAATTCAAGACTTAAAATTTGTCTAATTAAATTTATTTATGTAAAAATTATTAAACACAACTAAAATTCAAACAAAAAAATGTCATAAACATGGTAAAATTTGTATAAAAACTTAATTTTATATTATTTTTTAATTATTCATGAGATATATTTTCATTATATTTTGTGGATTCAAGTATTAATTGAATTTCTTTGTTTTTGACATTTAATGTTACAAATTTTATGTCTTTAAACTTTGTCACTTTTTAACAAGTTTTGAAACAATTATTTAATTCAAAGACTACCTAGATAATAATGACAATGATTAAGGGTTAATTTTCAATTTAGTTATGGTTAAGAGTTAATTTTAAATGTTGGAATACTTGAATTTCAAATGTTAGATTTGTTTAAACTTAAAAATAAATATTTTTAAATAAGTTTTTTTAAAAAAACAATTATTTAAGAAGTAAATAAGAGTTATTTCTTAGGAAAAACATAAGCCACTTATTTAAAAAAATGAGACAAACACATAAGAAAAATATTGGTTTTATTAAAAATAAACACTTTTATAAGGAAAAAAAAGTTTAATCAAATAGAATCTATGTTTAGTTACCTTACTTTTATTTTTCCTACATTACTTTTTATTATTGTTATTTTATTTTATTATTATAACTATTATCTTAATATTATCTTATAATATTATGATTTTATTAGCAACATAAGTGTAACAGTATATCGCACTATAATATTCTAATAATAATATTAATGTTATCTTGTGATATTATTATTTTATAATATTAATTATTTCAAATATTGGACTATATTTAACTATTTTAGTTTCATATTTACTATGTTACTTTTTTTTATTTTCATTTAAGTATTATTTACACTTTTTTAATAATATATTTTTATATAAAATTTGAGATAAAATAATTTATTTTTTATGTTTTTAAAAAATGATATCGAAAAACAGTTTTCTTCTTCAAAATAAAATCAAATTAAAGTAATTTATTATTAATTGATTTGATTTTAATTATAATTTTTTAATAAATTTTATTCAAACTAAACCAATTAAAACTGATCGGTTGTAACTGTAACTCAAAACTAAACTAAATTGATCATAAACATCACTTGTGATACAAACTTTTCTCACAGAAATACTATATATAACAAAAATTGAAATAGGTAACTACTTGAAAAATCCTAGGCTGAAAGCTATCACACTTTCTACTTATTATCTTCCACAGAAATGTGAATCGCGAAAATTTAAGAAGTGGATTTTAGTGTGTTTCCAATATCAATCACAAATCTATACTTAACATCTGCTTTGAGAATGTTAATGTCTTGTCAGAGCACTCAAACAACTATGTCTCTCTCTCTCTCTTTGATCTTTTGCTCACCAGTTCTTTCTATATCTTTTCGGGGACCTTCCCCTAGTTCTTAGCCTAACGATCTATATCATGTCTTCCTTTATTTAGCCTATATCTCCATTATGTTTTGATTGTATTTTCGTTATCATCCTCATTTGATGGTTTCACGTATATCAAGCCTATTGTATCCTTCCTTATCAAATAGTGGGTTGTTATTTCTTTATTTTTATCTTATGTTTGTTACACCATAACAATAGATTAGTTTTTTTACCTATCATGAGCTCAGTCGACCTATGGATGATAGTCTAAGTTGGTTGGCTTGTATAACGAAAACTAATCGGTTGATCAAAGACCTACAATAGAACATTAACATTGTAGGGCCATAAACTAGGTAGATTGATACCTACCATAGGTAATAAGTCAGCCACAAACCTATGAGGGAGGTTGGTTGAGAGCCTATAGGGGTACACAACCCCTTAGTCTTGAGTCTATAAGACGAAAAAATTAATATATAAAATGGTGTGGATCAATACTTGCTTTATCTGTTAGGTTGGCCACAAACCTATGAGGGAGGTTGGTCGACAACCTATGAGGGTGCACAACCCCATAGTCTTGAGTCTACAAGACAAAAGGACTAATAATTGAAGGTTTTTACTTTCTCAACTCATACTACTGCGTTTCTTTCTTCATAAAATGCATGATCTAATTAACTTGATTAGCCAACGTTAGATTTTTAGCTCACACGATCATTCAGGATACAATCCTCCCTAAGATTTAAGCAGGAATTTTCAATCTTTTCTACTCTTTGTTTGATGTTAGACAAGGACAAAAACGTCACCTTGAAAGGTGAAGACGCGTGTTGCATCATGTCATTGATAACCCTAGCGCATGACTCGAAGGCTGCACCTACTGCATATGGCATCATTCAAAGGGCACACTTTTAATGTAAGGTTTGGCCATTAAATGAGACCCAAGGCGTTGATTGGGAGATGAAGAGGCAAGTGATCCTACGGATCTCGTATACGGGTTCAATCCAATGGTTCCATGTTATAAATGCTTCATTTATTTTATTTCCTTGCTATAAATATCAACTTCCCATAACGGCTTCTTCATTGTTTCCCCAAAAAGCTTCACCCACTTTTTTCTCTTTCTTGGTTCTCTATTTGTCACAATTGTGACGATTCAGCAATCGTGTAAGGCAGAAAGGAGGGCAAAGCATGGTGGTTTGAGATTTATCACAGGAATTTGACTTAAAGGTATGCCCCTCTCCCTAGTTGATTCCTTTATATTGTTCTTGTTACGGGGGAAGAGGCAGTGAGTAGTACCTAGAAGTTTGGGAATGACATATGTAGAGTTGTTTCTTTGGGTAAGGGATGATATTCATCGGTCGAAGTTAGAGTATGCTGACTGGAGTGTGGTGCAAAACTTTCGTCCAAATAACATTTTGATGTAAGATGGATTAAAGGAAAACATCATAGCGAACCCTTGCACACTCGACGAATTGATATGCGTAGCTCGGTCATCAAGAGAGGAAGATTTCACCTTTTTCTACAAAACTTTAGTGATAAAATTTTGTGTACACTTCCCATTATCCGAACTGCTAAAGGCAGTGTTGCGGATTTTGAATGTGGCTCCTACACAACTACACCCAAATAACTGGGCTTTCATCCAAGCATTCAAGATTCTTTGTGGGGCACTCGATGTGGTCCCTTCTATAGAGAAGTTCTACTTTTTTTGAAAGAAAGGCCTCAAAGTAAGCTAGTTGGATATCTATTAATGGGTCAATGGTTGCCCCATGATAAGCTTATTCCAATCATCCTACAAGAATTTTAAAACAAAATACTTTCAAGTTCGAGCCCCAATGCATAATTGATCTACTCTTCAGGGTTCTCCTTTGTATTGGGGATCAAACCCAAATATTCATAGGGGATTGGACCTCGAAACATTATTGGAAGGAGAGCAAACCAATATTGAAAAAATGAAGATGGATTTTTTGGTTGGGGCAAGTTGTTACAGTTGGAGAGCAGGGGTCTAGAACTTCATAAATACACAGTTATTCACACACTGACCATCGATTATCAAGTGACGTCTTTGTATTCTGATCCCTTTATTTTTCTTATTGAAGAACATATGAGCACTTAATGCTGAGATGGCTCAAATTTTGAAGGAGAAAAAGGTTGTTAAGGTTGCTGACAATGGCATGAAAGTCAGTGAAGCCGCCTCCAATACCACTGTTATAGGTTCACCAACGGCTAAGAGACCATGACTGCAAATCGAAGGGAACGAGATCATCGTCCTCTTTGAAGGTCATCATATTAAGGGCGATGATAAAGCTCAATCAAAGGAAACTAGGGTTAGCTATTTTCAAATATTTTGTGTTGGAGGCAAACCAATTTTTTACTTCTTGTGGGCTTGCTCGGCTAACATCAAATTGGGGCCACTATTTGACATAGGAGTTCCTTTGAAATGGAGGAGGTTTTAATGGGTGTTCTGATTTTCCAAATTTATACTACCATGAAAATATCCAAGATAACGAGAAGCTTGAGAAAAATTTAAGATCTGCTAGGATCCATGTATTTTGGCTGTTATACATAGATTTAAAGACCTTGAAACCTTCTTCTGGTGGGGTCGGAAGGATTTCTTCAATTGGAATCGGTTCGGATCAATTTGGATTTTTTGCACACCCCTAATCCTTATTGTACTCGTAATGTTTGAAGATATATTAACCATCATATTTTTTTAATTCTCTCATCCATACAATGTATTCATTTTTATTAATTTTCTCATTGACTCGAGAGTTGTAAAGTCCTTTTTTAAGACACAAGGGGTTTAATGCTTTTAAGATTAATTTTGTTTAATGTTAAAATAATGTTTGACTAGCGAATGAAATCACATTTTATGAGTACAAATTAATCATTAATTATCAATTTTATGATATTATGTGTATCATGTTTATGGACAAAAAAAAATAATCATGTTAATACTATGTAGGTTAAAATATTTTTTAAATCTTATATAACTTCACTTACTCTACTTTTTAGTTATTATATTTATCTTTTTCAATCTTAATTTTATAGTCCATATAGTTTAAGATATAGATATTTTTAGTCTATATACTTATAATTCTTTAATCTTTTTAGCCTATATCATTAATATCTTTTTATAATATATTAATTCAACTTCATGTGTCTGATATCAAATTTATTTTTATTAAAATTATCATAAATTAGGTCCTTTAATACTTTGTACCTTTTTTTATTTTTACCAGCGACGCTCATTGTTGGAATATCTTTTTTTACCTATGTAAGATTAAAGACTTCTACTACCTTAATACAAAAGAGATAGCGTTATATATATAAAAAATAATGATAGAGAGTAAAAGGGATTAAAATGGTAATATAAAATTAAAAAAAATATATATATATCTTAAACATTAAAAACTAAAAAGGACTAATAAAGATAAATATATGGGCTAAAAATATTTATTAAAAATTTTAAAGACTAAAGGGTAAGGTAAGTGAAATTCTAAAGACTAAAAATGTATTTTATAACCTATTATATATTAATTTAGCAATTTTGTTTTACTATTAAAAAAGTGTCATTTTCATATAAACTTTCCTACAAAATATTTGTAATTTTTTTTTTGCGATTTTCTTATAATAATCATTTCACAATTATTTTTGTGAGTTTATTTGCAAAAAATAATTTACAGAAATTTCTTACAAAATTTTTTATGAAAAATAATCTACAATAAATTTTAACAAATTTTACTACGATTTTAATAATCATAGAAATTTTTTCCATGGTAAAAATTTACAGAAAATATTGTAAGAATTTATTTTATTTCTTGCAGATTTTCTTGTAAAAATAAATTGGCAAATAATATTTACTAAATGATTAAAAAATTTTCACAAGTAACTTTTCCTGCAGATTTTCTTCCCAATTTCAATATACTAGAAAAATAAAATAAAAAATTTAAATTTATAAGGTTAATAATTAAAAGGTTTTTAATTAAAAAACATTATTTTACTAAATTATTTATAAATATATCAGTATAATTAATTTTAGTTAAATTAAATATATAAAATTTTATAAATATGATAAATTAACGATAATGAGTTTCAATTTAATGTAAATTTATAAAATTTTAAAGTTAAAAGTATTTACTCTATAAAATATTATTTTACTAAATTATTTATAAATATTCCATAAAAATTAATTTTAATTTAAAATATTAATAAATTTAATATTTATTTTAATTAAATATATAAATTAATGATAATGAGTTTTAATTTAATGATAGATTTAAAATAAAATTACTTAATAAAAAATTAATTTTTTTAGAATATTAAATATTTTAAGAATTAAAATAATTTATAATAATATAATTTTGTACTTCAATATAATGAATTAATTTATTTTCTAAAGACATGATTTAATTAATATTTAAAAAAATCTCAAGTTCCATATTGGTTAGAAATAAAACAGTTAAAAAATATATAAGTTAGGGTAACACTCGCCTTACATGTTGATTTTGTCTGGTTGAGTGTTAGATTTATAATCTACAATTTAATAGTTTAAAATGTTATGAATCACATCTTGGAGACATGAAAACAAATTTCTTAATATTTCGGATGAATTCATTATGAACATTTAAAAATTGAAGAATTATTAATAGAATTTGCACAAAAATCATCTCCAAATTTTAAATTTGCAAATCAAAATTTTGTAAGAAATTTTTTTGTGAATTTTAAAATTCACAAAAGTATATTATCCACGAAAGTATTATTTGAAGATAAAATTCTACAAAAAAATTTGTAGAAACGACTTTTCTTGCAAATTTTTATATAAAATATGCATGAAAAATCATATGAAATGAAAGAAATTCTAGTAGTGTTTAATTTTATTATACAAAAATATTTTCTTAGTATTACTATCGTAAATAATTCTTACACATTGATTAAATTAATTGTATCGTTTATAAGAACTTATAAATAACTTATTGAAAATTATATTATATTACAAGTACTTATAATTATATCTACGATAACTTATAAAGATAATTTATGACCGAATGTCCATAAGATAATTTTATCTTATTTTCATAAGTTCTACAAGATAGCTTGGAAGAATAGTTTATATAAAATTTATGGAAAAGACGCAATGAATCTTAACAATCTCAAATCTAAATGAGGATTTTTTATTTATTTTTTATAATGGCTTTAATTTTTATTTTTCATACAAAGATTTTTGTTCTTTATTATTTTATCCAAAAATTTAAACTTCTTATCCTATTTAAGTAATTACCGACCCTATAATTTATTTTAAAAAATATAGAGAAGTACTAAGTATCTCTTTTATTCTAATATAAAAAATACATTTGTTTTTCTTTTTGTTCCTTTTCAAAATTATTTATTGTTTTTTAATCAAATTAATATAAATATTAATTTCTGCCCAAACTAATTAAAATTATTAATTGCTATAGTAATTTATTTTTAATTTTAATATGTTCTTCTTGTCTCTAAAAATACAATTTAATTACATAATTTTATGCGTTGTGAAAGAAATTATATATTTCCTTATGTAATAGTATGTAGTGGTTGAATTTTTATAATGATTTACATTTTTATATACATAAATTTATTTATACAGTGAATATTTTAAGCTTATTAAAAAATATATAAATTTAATGTTAACACCTTAATTTATATTTTAATTATGTGTTGATTATTAAATAATTTAATTTTAAAAATTATTTTGTGATTTGTATGTATTACTTTTTTTTTTTTAATTTATGATACTACATTTTTAATTGAGTGTGAGTTTCACCTTGTGTACTGCTCTAGTTGAAGCTTGAGTATGTATACGGCAGTGTAAACATCTTCTGTCTAGAAGATGTTAGGCAATATTTTTGTATTTAACGTTGCTGCTTAAGGTCTTCTTTTTCATATAATTTATCAAACTTGTATGAGTTGTACTTTTTGCTGAGATCAGCTCAAAGTATTTTGATACATTTGTCACTTTACTTCTTGTTAGTACCAAGAAGTGAATTTAGAGATACTCGAAATATAGGAGTGCTTGAAATCTTATTTGATCGGAAAATGACAAAGAAGTTTTTGAAGAGGAAACATACGAAGCATGAGGATAATCAAAAAGAGAATTAAGAGATATGCGAAAACCGTGAAAGTTGCTGCTCATGAAAAAGGCTCACAGCCTCACAGCCTCGCAACCTCTCAAAGTACAAGAAAAATCAAGAAACTCAAGTATACTTTTCGTAAGTCACTCGAAATTTCAGAGATCCGGACATACACGAGCATACTTCGCAACCTCTTAGAATGAGGAACTTAAATGAGACACAATTAGGAGCGGTTGAAGTAAATCATGGGATAAATGTCAAGACTGCAGAACGGTTTGGGGAAGTTATGAACGGTTCCAGGAGTTATCAAAAGACGTGCCCGAGAATGAGCCATGATGTGGAAGTTTAGAGCGGTTACGCGTTTTAAGAGCACGTTTATCTTTCCCAAGTTTCTTTAAATTGACGAGCCATGCTCGTAACAAAGGGTCAGAAATCATACACCCACAACACCTCACAAGCACTCATCGCCTGCGCATAAGGCTCATGTGTATACGAGACAGCTGAGTACGATTTCTCGACCACCTTTCTTTTTCCTTTTTAGCGTAGCATAGCATAGCGTAGCGTAGCATAGTCTAGTGTAGTGCAGTCTCCTGAATCTATTTCCTTACAAATTGTAATTCTGTTATCATCTAATGAAGGATATGATTTTTGCAATCAATATACATGTCATTTGTTCGATTCACGTTAACACTTACGTGCATGAAATTGTTGTATGATTAGCATATATATTCTGTTATGCTAAAACAAAATCATAATCAATTAACTCTATTTGTTGCTTGTACGATTTATCACTAAAAATCTTCAAATCTATCATGTCAGAGACATACCTAAATTGAAATCGTGCTAATTCGAATAAAAAGAACCTCCAAACGAAATCCTCCACAAACACTTCTCAACAAAGATTTTAAACTTATTGAATATTTTGAAAAGTTTTGTTTTTTCTTTGAAAAAATAATCCCAGGTCATTTAAAAAAAAACAAATCATCAATGAAGTGAATGAAATTGATATATGTTATAGTTGCGAGGCGATAGTGTCGTCGACAATCCGCAAACGTTGGTGTAATCAATTACGACAAGTCTTTTAAAAGTAAATCAATTATGGTGAGTTTTAAAAGAATAAAAAGCATGGGGTGAAACAGTAAATTAATAACCCACATCTTAATGGTGGTATTAATTATTTTCCTGGCTAATTGACTTTATGTAGCGAATCAACTGATGGAGACTATGATAAGATGAACCACCTGGAATCAGACTCTTGTGAGCCAACATAGCCATTTCTTGAGCTGATCTCTGAAACTCCTCCTTCCTATGATCCATAAGATCATTAACCATGTTCTCCACAACGTGTCTATCACACACATCTTTCATGTCCAACCCAAGTTTCCAAACCTCACTCACAAACCTGCTGTTAACCTGCTGATCCGCAAAGTAAGGCCAACAAATCATGGGCACACCAGCCACCAAACTCTCCAAGGTCGAGTTCCACCCACTGTGAGTCAAGAACCCACCAATAGCCTTATGGGCCAGAACCTCCTCTTGCGGGGCCCAGCCCACAATGAACCCCCTCTCCTTAGTCCCTTCCTCAAGCTCTTCCGGTATCCGGTAATCATTGTCTTCTCCTGCCACCAAGTCATGCCGCATCACCCATAAGAACCGCTTCTTACTGTTCACCAAACCGTGCCAAAACTCCATCAGCCTCTCCCTAGTCATTGTAGTGATGCTACCGAAGCTCACATATATCACTGACTTCAACGCCTGTGAGTCAAGCCAAGTCAAGCAAGTTCTGTCCACTTCCCAGAAACAAGCCGTGGACGGCGTCGTTTTGGCGTTGGACTCCGTTCTACAGTTCAACTGTGCATGGAGAGGACCGATGGCGAAGACTCGCGGAATCTTGTCACGTATTTGGGACAACACGGGACCATCTAGGTCCTCGAAAGTGTTGAGTATCAGCGCGCGGGCTCGAAGCGTTTGATGCGACTCGAACACCGAGGATTTCAAAGGCTTCACCGTGTCGGATTGGACTCCTCGATAGAAACTTGGAAGGTCTCGACAACGGAGCAAGTTTTCCATACCTGGGATAGTAGTTATGATGCGATCCATGTCTTCCTCTCCTTCAATGAGTTTCATAATTTAGAACGTTTCTTGTATTGAAACAAGCTTTATAACACGTATATATTAATAGTATAATTATAATACCTTTGATGGGAAGTTGATTGGATTGAAAGAGGATTGGAGCACAAAAGAAAGTCCAGAAGCATGAAACACTGATTGCGCGAAAATGAACGAGTGGTATCCGAAGCTGATCTGCCACGTCAGCGGTGAGGCTTGCTAAGAATCCGTCAGCTATGAGGCAGGTGACGGTTGGGTTTGGATGTGGAGAGAGCAGAATGTCTGTGAGGAGAGGCTTTGCGTGGGAGTTCATGGAAGCATAGAGGTCTGCTAATGCGTGGTGGCCGGAACGAGGGTGGTCGTGAGGGAGGCCGTCGGGGATGGTCTTGAAATGGAGGGTGGGGTAGGTTTGCGAGAGAGCTTCGATGTTGGCGAAGCGGCGGAGGCGCTGGTGGATGTGGTCGGTGTTGAGGAAGGTGACGTGGAAACGGTGGAGAGCGAGAAGCTGTGCCAGCTTGAGCATGGAGTTCACGTTGGCTTTCACTGGACCGGCGAAGACGAGCACATGGGTGCCACCTTCTTCGTCTTTTTCTTCCGCCTGCATCTCTCACTGTGACTTCTTTTTCTTCTTAATGCGACACCACAACCTGCAACCTGTGGCCGATAATTTTTCTTAAGGAAAAGGATGCAATGTACAAGATATATTACTTCATTCACTCACTCAGTCGTTGTTATTTAAAATAAAATATAAAAATTAGATGCGACACCATGTTATTTAAAACAAATTGTCGTGTTTTCACAGTTCAAATTGGAGTACAGCTGTTTTATTAGTATATATATTATTTGATTTTTTTAAGTCTTATATTTTTTAATTATTTTATTTTTTATAGTTTAAAATAGGTGTTTTATAGTTTATATAATTATTTTCTTTCGATTCTTTTTAATTTTTTATAGATTAAGATAAGTTTTTTAATTTTTACACTTATAATTTTGTAATCTTTTTAGTCATGCAAAACAAGGCATTTGCATACACATCCCATTCCGTCTCTAACAATTGAATTTGTTCTGTATGTACCCAATTGTCCTTTCAACCTACTTTTTGTCCATTGCCTTACCCAAACCCATGTTTGTCTCATTACATTTACTAAAGATTCTGTTACCTTACAAAAACAGAGTTTTGGACAAACGATTGGCGTCGAATGTGTCTCATGGCCTTTATTACCTCTTTGCTCCACCAAAGGCATGCTCAGCCATGTCTTCGCTAACAATTCATGCTCAATTGGGGCATTTTGGTTTGCCAAAGCTTAGAAGATGGTTCCTAGTCTCCAAGTTGTTTAGTCTACAATGTGAATCATGTCAACTAGGGAAACACACTCGTAATTTGTTTCCCAATTGAGTCAATAAAAGAGCGTCATCCTTATTTGCCTTAGTTCATTCTAATATTTGGGGTCCTTCCTGTATCACTAGTTCATTTGGTTTTAAGTACTTTGTTTCATTTATCAATGATTTTTCTTGTTGTACACAATTATTTTTAATAAAAAACAGGTCTGAGTTATTTTCTTTATTTGAGAAAATATTAAATTAATAGTATAAATTTAAATTTTATTCCAAAAATGCCTTTTGAATTAAATGATTTATGTAGTGGTTACAATTAATGTTATATTTTTTTACATAAATATATGCATCCACTTGCATGAGAGATGAGAAAGTGTCTCATTAATAGATTTTACCATAAATGATTACCATAAAAAGAAATTAACAATTAATACAAGTGAACCTATATTTCTTATAATTAGGACAAAAAAGAGTACACATTTATTTCTTATATAAATAAGGACAGAAAGAAGTATTATATTGAAAACACATGTCATTTTATTTATTTTTTAGAAACATTTAGTGTTTTTTAACATGTGCTCATGGGCAAACATTTGAAAAACTAGACTTTATATATATATATAACTCTGATGATCATTGAAGTGATAGGCTGTTAGTTTTCAATATCTACTTAAAATAAAATAAAAAATCTGTCACGTTCATGAACTGATTTTGCCAAGGCATTTTGTCTTTAAAGGATAGCTCTATGTTAAGTAATTTCTAAGCCATATTTTAGTAAGAATTAGCTACGGGGTGGCCATTGCATCTCTAGTATAGTGAATTTTGGAGATCCCATATTTATAAACTAGGTTTTGGGATTAAGTTAGACCTGAACTCAAATTTGAAGAGTGAATTGAAACTATGATGTGATGTGACCATTATATGATTTACTAAAAGAATAAATAACTTAACCATAGACAAGTTGGCACCTGTAATTCTGCAAGACGCTCATATCCGGCATTGATATCATCCATCAGGACCTAAAATAACAAGATATCATTAATAGAACAACCCTTGAACCAAATGTCTGCTTTCATTCGCTAAAACCAACTCGTAAGGAATCTCTACCATATAATAACTTGACCGTTATTTTAAATGAGAAAGTTCACTTTAGTCTCCCCATAGAACTTGGGCAAATAATTTTCTACAGTCTTTACTCCTTTGTCTAAATTAGTTCTACTCGAGTTGAATTTTAAGTTAATTTGACATGGTAAATCTAATCATTAGGAGATGCAAGTTTTGTGCTATCCATTTGAGTGCATTATAAATATCATTCACAGTGCCACAAACTAATGTGTTGCATAACAAGATACTCTCTGCAGAGGCATTATATGCATTATGCCAATCCTTCTTTAGTGTAGCAAAACAAGTAAAATTCATGTGGAGTTAATCATGTCAACAAGCTTTAGAAGGGTAGACACTGTTATAATCCTAAGAAAAGAAATATTATCGGAAAAGCAAAGGAATGAAGCACAACAGCAGATGATAATCCTCCTAGAAGAAACTAAGAAACATAAAAAGCCTTAGCAATTGAGAAAGACACAATGCATGGGGGACCTGTGTCATATCTTGGCAATCACCAGTACAAATCCGGTATTGGGTAAGCACATAACAAAGGTAGAAATAGCAAACGACAGCTATATAAGATCATCACTAGAGTTAAAAAGATATTTACCTGAGAAAGGATAACAAGTTGTTGATTTGCTTTCTTGGGCAATTCCCTCAGTGCCCGTTCACACAAACGACGAGGTGAAGTATTATACCAGTCTTCCCCATACTCATGAAGGTATGGCTGAGTGAGTGGAACAAATACCAGACCAGCAAAAATGTAATAACTAGGAAGTTTATCGAACTGATGAACTGGAACTAAGGGTTGGATCTGAAATGTTGATAGAAATATATTTAACAAAACTATTGTCCAGAACCAACTGGTCACACAAAACTGTAATTAGTAGGAAATGGATCACCCTGCAGTTTGAAGGGGGGAAAACCTGCAGGCATTGTACAGTTAACATTCTCACTGTTTAAATAAATCATTTTTTCCATCATACATTAAAATTATCAAACATTTAAACTAAATTAAGGGGATATTTGGTATGCCGAATATTTTTACTTTCTTGTGAATCTTAAATTAGGAATCTTGATTTCCCTTGTTTCGTAGCTATTTAAAAAAAAAAAAGATTCTCAGAAATATAGTTTCTCGAAAATCATTTTTATCCCACTTTTTCACAAAAAATTTCCATAGGGGAGAGATGGGAATTCAACTTACCCGAGTTAGGGGAATGCTTTATGTTAAAAAGGCCACGATATCTCTTTTTAAAATAGAAAATCTTTGTCTCTACCCTTTTATTTCTCTTTGTTTCCCTCTCCCTCTCTCTCTCTCTCACTCTCACTCTCACTCCCCTTCTCTTCCTCTCTCTCCCTCTCATATCTCTATTCTCTCTCTCTTATATCTCATTATTTCTTGATCTGTCAATTTAAATAATATTATTAAAATCTGTTTTGTTTCTACACTTTAATGGTATTTATTAACACTTATTTATTTGAATGAAATGAAATAATATATTTTTATCCTTCTTATTTATTATGCAACATTTTTCTTTGTTGATTTCTTTTGTTTAATTATGTATTTAAATAATTTTAATTATAAGTTCAAATTTTTAAAATAGTTTAATGTCATATTTGTAATAAGATTTGAGTAAATAAATATATTTCATAAGTTTATTTGAAAATACTTAATTCCCAAGAATCCTGTATGAATATTCCCAAGAACCCTTATAGTAACAAAACAAATTTTAACTATTCTTGGAAATCATGATTCTAAGATATGAGAAAACTTCTCTCTTACCAAATGCTCCCTAAGCGTCTTGATCCCCTTCTATTTAAAAGAAAAAATGCAGGGGATCTTAATCCATTATATGTAACGATAAAACAGTAAAATGACAGTGACTCTGTAACCTGGAAATTAAATTAAAGGTTATAGAAGTTTGAACAGTAAAAGATCACAAATTCAAATGAGTAGTCTATTAACACTCTCAATTTCAAACATAGAAAACCATCTCTTTAGCATTTACTCCATAAAATTAAAATTTATAAAGTCAGTCACCACGGACAGAAATCATTTCAACTTGTTTCCACTCCATAGAGAACATATATTAAATACAAAGGGTGGAAAGTGCAACCACAAGACAACATATCCTATAAAATAGATAAAAGCAAAACATATCATGACACAAATAAAGAATGCAGCAAAGCTGCCCCATCTGCATGCATTGTCAAAAATGTCAACTCCCTGAAGATGTCAATTACCAAAACACCAAAGACAAGCCATACAAACAATCCTATTCTATAGCAAGTTGAAGGTAATCATTCTCTTTCTTACAGGTTGGACAACGACACTAAGCTCATGCTCTTGGCCATCCCGCAGAACCCTGACTGTTTCTTTTTCATTAGGTTTCTTCATAGTTACCAAGTGATCAAATGTTATTCGTTCTCTGTTTCGAAAAGTGATGGAAGCTAAGTGAAGGAGATTGATGTTCTCCACTTGTTCCATGCTTGGACCGTGATGCTTTTGAGGTTAACTCCTTGAAATCTCGGAAATCTCCATTGAAGAAGCTTCAAAGGAGGTGAAGTCTATGAAGGAGGTTCAGTTACTTCTCTTGGATAGAGAAGTTTGATGAACCAAGACAAGGTTGAAGGAACCTTGAGGGAAACCTAAAGAGATAGTTCTCCACGGTTTTTAGGTGACTCTTGATTGAGAGAAAATTCAGATTTCATTCTCAAAAATGTTCAAAAGTATTTTACAATCAAAGAATTACAAGTTTATAGGAGTAGGAAACTTGGAGAGCAAGCTAGTCTTGACCATGGTTCACTAGGAACCATGGTTGAGTCTAGATAAACCGTCCAAGGTCAAGAGGCTTGGAGAGCAAGCTTCTCACTTGGCTTGCTTGGTAAGCTAGCCAAGGAGAAGCTTGTGCTTCAAGCTTCCAAGCTTAAGAAACTCCATGAATTTCGTCCAAGTGTGAACACAAGTGTTCACACAAGTGTGAACACAAGTGTGAACACAATTGTAAGGTGGGTGGCTTCTTGGAATTAATTTACTCCTTTTGATTTGAAAATGGTTAATTTGGTTTAGTTAGGTTCATTCAATGGGAATGGAACCTAGCTAAATCAAATCTATGAAAAATTAGGAGTAAAATGAGTCCAATATGAAAAATTTAGCCTAGGACCACCTTTGGCTAAATTGCTAGGAGCACTCTCTAGCTTACTAAGGACACTCTCTAATTTGCTAATGCCACTCCTACTAGAAAACTAAGAAAAGAATGTATTTCTAGGTTAGGTTAAATGG